AGCACACCTGCACAGTCAGGGTCTCAGGTGCTTCTCTCATCTCTAATTACTTCATTAACAACTTTTTATTATTCATTAACACTCGTTAACACACAGGGCACGCCGTGCACAAACACAGGGAACCTGGAGTTTTGCATACTTTTACTAATTATAGACCGTAAAGTCAGCAACCTGCCAAATGTGAGCAGGGAGGGATGAGCTGGTGAGGATCTCACCACTGATCTTTCTGATACAGCACAGGTTTAAAATGTACAACAAAAGAGGAAGGCTTTTAACGCACGACCCCGGTGTAGAACTAACCGCTGAGTCTCGTCCGTGCAGAGACACGCTGCAGATTCCCTCCCGGTGTGATTTGTGTTTCAGAAAACCAGGTCAGCGAGCACACAGGAGACGAGGTTCAGACGAGGCTCACACGCTGGAGATGGTTACGTCAGCTGAGGCTGCAGGAGAACTGAGAGATCCCACTGAGCGTGCTCTCTGCATGCTGCTCTCTGGCGTCGCTCCCTCTCTCCCCTCCTTTTCATGTCTCCTGACAACCAGCGGCGGCCGCGTTTGTTTAGATCAGCGGCTCGCAAACTTTCACACAGGACACGAACAAAGACTCGACGTGGGAGCAGAGCAGCAATTCCTGGAATCTGTTTCTGGATGTCGAGTTGGAGTCTCCTGCAGGCTGACCAGAGGTGGCGAAAGAAAACACATTCCTAACTCCAGAAGAGGAAGAGAAATGTTGCAGTGTCGAGTCTGAAATGTTCTCACAGAGTGGAGAGATAGAAGTGTCTCTGGAGGACGTTTCTATTGGCTGTTTCTGTGCAAAGCTAACGGCTAATGTGAGCGTAAACACTGAACATCAAAGTTCAACAGAGTGAAAACCTGAAGGATTCAAACTGATTCACATCTTTGAACCCGTTTCTGTCCAAAACCAAGAAGTGGACCTGTGAAATATTCGCTCTTATTTGGGTTGTTTAAACTTTGAAGAGCAGCGGACCGGGACGCTCGGTGGAAATCTTCAGAGTGTTACCATCTCACTTCGTGCATGACAACGATTCCTCCTCCCCCTCCCCCGCTGCTCTGCGTTCACATCAGTACCATCGCTCCGTACCCGAGTAGACCTGCGCCTGTACACAGTCTGATACTGCAGGGGGCAGTATGCACAGAGTTGGTTTGCAAATCCACAAAAACAACAGAAAGAAGAAGAGGTAACCATGGCAACCACTCGCAGACTCAGAGTCCATCTTGCTAACTTTGGATGTTTTCTGTTATTTCTGAGATGCCAACAACGACCCCTCTTCCTGCGTCCACATCTACAGTGCAGCTCAGAGGAGGAAACGACGCCGTGCTCAGTGGATTCTGCGATTTTTTTGACTTTTTGTGTCTTCCATGGAGAGATAGGACAGTGGATAGAGTTGGAAATCAGGGAGAGAGAGAGAGAGAGGGGAATGACATGCAAGAGAGGAGCCACAGGTGGGCTTCAAACCCGGGCCGCCCGCTTGGAGGACTACAGCCTCCATACATGGCACGCACTAACCACTGCGCCACCAGCACCCCTGGTTTCAGCGGTGTTTGAAGCAACAGGAGCCATTCAGAATGATGTCATTCTGTACTCCGATCCCGGTCCTGGTCCCTGATGTGAAACCACCCTTGACCTCCATTATCATAAACAAACGGATCACACTGAACAACACACACACTTTGTTACCAACTGATTCCATTAAAACACAACAACACAGAGTTAAATATATACGTCTGCTGCTTTATTCAATCATTTCATCCCTTCTGGGTGATCTGGAGAGTCCACATTCAGGTCCACATGGACGTGATCTAGTCCTCCTGCTGTATCTGGAGCTCGCTGAGTTCAGTGTGGAGACCCGGCCGCTGACTCCTGATCTGTCGCTTTCTTTTAACTCTCCTCCTCTATCATGGCCTTCTCCTCTTTTAGCCGTGTGGCGACGAACTCGGTTATCAACTCAAACAGGAGAGGCTGTAACCCGTGCCACTGCTTCCTCTTCGTCTCGGACGGCTGCTGTGTCTTTAGGATCTGTTCAATCAAATCCTCCAGCTCCGTGTAAAGAGTGAGCGTCTTTTCTCCCACCATTTCCGCTGCTTCACAGACCTGCTTAAAGAAGTCACTGTCCTCATCGTCTTCATCGTCTTTATCGTCTTCATCGTCTTTATCGTCTCCATCGTCTCCATCGTCTTCATCGTTTCTCTCCAGTATCTTCTGCAGAGTATCAGCTCGCATCGTCTCTCTCTCCACTTCTGTCTCTAGCTGCTGCACCTTCTCCTCCTGACAGGCGATTTTGTGTTCAGAAACGAGCAGCTTCTCCTCCTGCTCCTCCACCTGCTTCAGCAGATCGTCCACCAGCTTGCGGTCTCTCCACTGACGGTCACCGTCGTCTTCACTGTCATCTTCATCGTTTCTCTCCAGTATCTTCTGATAAGCATCAACTAGCATCCTCTCTCTCTCCACTTCTGTCTCTAGCTGCTGCAGCCTCTCCATCATCTCCTCCTGACAGGCGATTTTGCTTGCTAAAACGAGCTGCCTCTCCTTCAGCCCGTCCTTCAGCAGAACATCCAGCTCGCTGTCTCTCTGCTGACTGTCACCGTCCTCTGACCTGTCGGGTGTGAGCAGCTTCTCCTCCTGCTCCTCCTCCTGCTCCAGCAGAGCGTTCTTCTCCTCCTGCTCCTCCACCTGCTTCAGCAGAACGTCCTTCTCCTTCAGCTTCTCCTCCTGCTCCAGCAGAGCGTCATTCTCCTTCAGCTCCTCCTCCTGCTCCAGCAGAGCGTCCTTCTCCTCCTGCTCCTCCACCTGCTCCAGCAGAGCATCATTCTCCTCCTGCTCCAGCAGAGCGTCATTCTCCTCCTGCTCCTGCACCTGCTCCAGCAGAGCATCATTCTCCTCCTGCTCCTCCTCCTGCTCCAGCAGAGCGTCCTTCTCCTCCTGCTCCTCCTCCTGCTCCAGCAGAGCGTCCTTCTCCTTCAGCTCCTCCTCCTGCTCCAGCAGAGCGTCCTTCTCCTCCTGCTCCTCCTCCTGCTCCAGCAGAGCGTCCTTCTCCTTCAGCTCCTCCTCCTGCTTCAGCAGAGCGTCCTCCTTCAGCTCCTCCTCCTGCTTCAGCAGAGCGTCCTCCTTCAGCTCCTCCTCCTGCTCCAGCAGAGGGTCCTTCTCCTCCTGCTCCTCCTCCTGCTCCAGCAGAGCGTCCTTCTCCTTCAGCTCCTCCTCCTGCTCCAGCAGAGCGTCATTCTCCTCCTGCTCCTCCTCCTGCTTCAGCAGAGCGTCCTTCTCCTTCAGCTCCTCCTCCTGCTCCAGCAGAGCGTCCTTCTCCTTCAGCTCCTCCTCCTGCTTCAGCAGAGCGTCCTTCTCCTTCAGCTCCTCCTCCTGCTTCAGCAGAGCGTCCTTCTCCTTCAGCTTCTCCTTCAGCTCCTCCTCCTGCTCCTCCTCCTGCTTCAGCAGAGCGTCCTTCTCCTTCAGCTCCTCCTCCTGCTTCAGCAGAGCGTCCTTCTCCTTCAGCTTCTCCTTCAGCTCCTCCTCCTGCTTCAGCAGAGCGTCCTTCTCCTTCAGCTCCTCCTCCTGCTCCAGCAGAGCGTCCTTCTCCTTCAGCTTCTCCTTCAGCTCCTCCTCCTGCTTCAGCAGAGCGTCCTTCTCCAGCTCGCCGTCTCTCTGCTGACTGTCACCGGTGGCCGGCATCTCCATCTTCTCCATCTTAATCTGCTGGAAGCTCCTAACGTTGGTGCAGATGCTGTCTCTGTCTGTCTTTCTGTTGGAGGATTGTTTGTTTCTGAATTAAAAGTTTAACTCGTATCTTTTAACCTGCTGTTGTCATGACAACCGTTTTAATGTCCTCTGTCCTCACCACAACAACAACATGCTGTTTGTGTACTTTTAAAATCCCATGGTTCTAAACATATATAATAACAACAACAGGGCATATTTTGAATTCTTGTTGTCAGTGTTGGTTGCCTGGCAACCAGAAGAGCAACCAGGAAGTCACTTTACTCAACAAAAAACAACATTACTCAACATAAACCTCCAACGTGTTATCGGTTCAATTAAATAAAATTAAAGCTTTACACGTGTTGTACAGGTGTGTAGCTCTAGTCTTTAAGCTAAGCTGTTCATGCTAAGCTATGTTTATGCTAAACTACATTTATGCTAAGCTAAGCTCACTGCACAACACATACAGCAACAGTTCAATGGAAACTGAAAATCTGGAGACACAACGGGCCATATTACCAGTAAACGTATTAATTAACGTCTGCTAACGTTAGCATTCAGCCTCTTCTTAGTTAACATATGAGAATCGTTGTGTTCAGTTGAGTCCATTCTGAAGGTCTTCCTGTTTTTTCCCACAGAGGACTGGGAGTCTCACATCTCTGCGTGGTAATCAGAGGCTCATTTGCCTCTTGATTTTACCACCTCTCATGCAGAAACTGCCCCCCCCTTGTAGCTGAGACTGCAGCTGCAGAGCACATGCTGGGCGTCTCCAAAACACACACTGACGACGCAGCAGGTCATTTATCAGACAGTAAAGTCGGCTTCAGAGCTGCTGTGATGTGGACCTTTTTCTGCAGCCTCTCAAATCACTAACAGAAGAAGTCCTGATCCCGTGTTCAGAAGCCCTCTAATTTTGCTTCCACTTTTATAGTAGCCACCAATTAGCAGAGGCCACTCTGACCAGCACAGAACGTCTGGCAGAGAATCTGAGCTTCGGCGCATTTCCTGGAAGTCACAGTCTGAGAAAAACAGCACCGTGATATATCCAAGAACAGATCGAGAGAGGGAAGCTGCAGTCAAGTGAAGTTTGATTTCACAGTTTAGCTCCACTTAGCAAAATCGGGGGTCAAGAGTACTCGGATCCGGGGCCCGGGTCCCTAGTTTAAAACCACCTTAAGTAGCTGAAAGGGCACCTCTGTGTTTCTCAGCCCGTCATGCTAAAAGTGTACTTCCTAAACGCCGTCAGAGTCATGTGTTCATGTGTCCAACTCTGCGGGCATTTCCATCTGTCTTTGTGTGCAGCTTCCAACAGGAACAGAGGAGCGAAAAGGAGAACAAAGAGTTAAAAAAATCTCCAGAAATAACCCCCCCCCCTCTCTCTTTTGTTGTTTCACATATTTGCCCCTTCAAGATCTAAAGTCACATTCCACAGAGCTGTTTTTGTTTTCCAAAAAAGGTAGGAAATAGTTACATAAGAGAGAGCGCTGAGAGCGTTTACATAAATGGTCAAAGTCGGTCAGCGCTGACTGAGAGACTGACTGCCCGTCTGGACCACGAGCCTGAGAGTCAGAGTGCTGGGCGGTTTACATCACGGGGTCATGGCGTGACTCTGTGTGTCGTGTGGACGGGTCGGAAGGAGCTCTGAACATGCACACGGCTGAATGAATGATTCCTTTGTCATGAGGGAGAACATCCAGTGTGGTTAATGATCTTTTTAAAAGTGTGAATCAGGAACACGGCGGCCTCGACTCACAACAGATCCTCAGTCAGAGGAGGAAACATCCACATGATGAACATGTCCTCGGTGGGCTGCTGTGACTAAAAGATTGTTTTGTCCAACAATATGATGTTTTTTTGTAGGCCAACCCTGAAGTAGCATCTCCATGGCGTCTAACCAGAATCCTCCTGTGGGATGTTTTCATTGGATTTTGGATCATTGCAGAAAATAATCTCTGTGTTAAACACACGTTTCTGAAGTGTAGGCGTTTTGTTCAGCAGGATCATCTTCACAGATGAACACCATTTTTATGATGTTTGAAGCGTTAATGCGGCCGACAGAAGTAAAAAGCTAACGTTATGCTACAAGCTAACTACACCACGGTGGGATGATTGTGATGTCACTAGATGTCACTTTAGACGTTAGACCCCATGGCGCTCAAATGCTAACTTACTTCCTGGTTTCAGGACTCATTCCTGTGACGCTCTATTGACAACCTCCGCTGTTAAAACATGAAGTCGATGCTGAAGTGTAAAATCCTGCAGTTCCTGGAGTGTCCACTAGAGGCTGGCTGCAGAAGCACAGGAAGTCACATACACACCCATTCTAAAAAGCCTGTTTTTACAGCAGAGATGAACATGTTTGCAGCCTGGTTCAAAAAACCAAATAGGTGTGATTAGCTCATGTCTCCATGGACACACACTGCGAGGCGTCTGAACTTTGACCTGTTACAGACTCTGTTGTGGGAACCTCAAACTCCTTTAATTCAGTGCACCAAATTCCAGTATTTGACACCCCCATCCCCCCGTTCCCCCGTCCCCCTGTCCCCCCGTCCCTGCTGCCCCCTCTGCTTTTGGACTGTGAGGAATGTGTCCCAATGTGTCACCGAGGCGACCCCCCATTTGGTGGCCGAGGAATGCCGGGCGTTTCACTGCTTGCTCTGTTTTCACAGCTTCAACAAGCGTCCACGTTTGTGCTGGTAAAGTGATCCTGACCACACAGGAGGACCCCCCCCCCCCCCCCCCACTGCTGTCAATTAACACCTAACACAGCTGATGGAAACCACGTGTAGGAGCTGCTGCTTCCAGTTCAGCAGGAATGTGATTATATAAGACTGAACCGATCAAAGACGGCAGAACTCAAAGCTAAACGTCAAGACAGAGCATCACCTCTCAACTTCTGCAACATGCGATCCTTTAAATACCCAACAAGCCAACGTCAGCGAGCTGGATTCAAACAGATGATTTCCTCTTTAAGTCACTGATGCTTCTTTATTCTCTGCAGGAGGCAGAAGTGACAAATATGAAGCACTGAAATAGAACAAATAATTTGATACATTTCAATTTAAACACAACAAATGATCTACAACATCATCTGAATATTCATGCAGCCTCCTTGGGGGGGGGGGGGGTAAAACCATCTGACCCCTACGTGACCTCACTGCGAGATCTGAGCCGTGCAGAAACGGACTCTGTCTGGATTTGTCACCAAAACACTGGAGCTTAACTGTGCGTCGGGATAAAGAGGAAAATGAAAATAACATTTTGGAGGATTAAAACTATTCTGGGCCCAAGAGGGAGAGGGGATGTAGTCCAACAGGAGGGTTGGGAGTTGTTTGGGATTGAATCCCTGATGGTTAAAGATACCAGGAGACGAGTCTGATAACTCTCTAATAGTTCACTTTCTGAGAGGATGTGAGGCGGCTAAACTACGAGAAATATCTTAAATCTGGAAAAGAGCGCCGGAGACATCAACAGTGCCTTTCTGAAAAGTTGAAAGATTTTCGACTTGAGTGCTCAGAAGAAAGATGCTGGTTGCTGCTGGTTTTCTCCAGGTGGCGTCCTGCTGCTACAAACGATCTCTACTTGTTGAAAACGATTTGAAAAAGACACTGGAGCTCAGAATAAAAGTCTGGTAAGATTTCAGAAGACTAACAGAGTATGCAGGAGAGGAAGCTCCACCTTTGAATTGTCTTTTTAAAATGACTCGTCTGCAGAGACACGTAGAAAACGAGGCGGACGGACTGTGAATGTGTTTCCTGTGTTTCCTCAACTGTCCCTCACACAAGTCTGGA